ATCCTTGATACATCATGTTAATGATAGGCACATAGTGAGGTTTTCTAGATCGGGAGTAAGCTAAAAAGTTACTCTACCCGGATTCTAACACCAAATTGTCAACGTGTGGATATGCGTCAACTGGGGAATTAGATCATAATTAGGATGAAGTGTGCGTTGATGAAGACGAAGGCATAGTTGAGTTCAAACGTCTTTAGTACATGACAAACAAATACACAAGACACGAGCGAGGTGAGCGGAGTACCTGCTCAATCCCAGGTGTTTCCTACGAGCGGCATTATCCTGCTCGTGGTCGTCCCAAAAGACAGTCCAAATACCGAACTCGTACTCCTTCACTGTCTAGATGTGAGCATACTAAGTATATATACAGTTTTTGACAACAATGGACAGGCGACGATTCATCAATGGACAGACAGAAAAACAATAGCACTTCCTTGACCAGTTGATGTGATGGCAGACACGGCCAAGGGGGATTACCAATGAAAGTTATAAATGTCTTATACAATAATTAATGGAGTGACAAGTCAATTTACAATGCGGTAGTGATAAGGATGTACAGTAGTGATTAAAAATACAGGTTAGCGTCATATATATATTACAATAAAGTCTCACATGTCTTGAGTACATAGTTTTGGACTTTTTAAATATTTGGACGATGGCTGTCCTAAATTAGTCCCTATAACACAATCATCAATGCAGCTTCGAAGGTGAAGTAGCGCCTAAAGTTGACCTCTGTAAGTGAAGGCTAGTGCTGAGGTAAGGAGACCTAGGAACTCTTGTTACTGATGTAGGGATATCTCTCCTGAGATAGGAACGTTTAAATAGTCAAGCTACAATGGCAGCACTGACCGAGTGCTGAATATAGTAGAGTCGGCGCATAGACATTGTCAGTCAATCTACAGGAACATTCACACTGTGCACGGAGTGATGAAGGTCGTAAAATCGGTGATCTCAGGAACGTTGGTTCACCAAATGAAGTATTGGTCCGCCAGATGGAGTGATAAAGTTAGTAGATTCGATGAATGGAGATCATCGATCTACCAAAACATTCATAAAGTTGCTGTAATGACGAAGGTAAAAAAGCCCGGCGACGCCAGGGAAGGTTCGTCTGGGAGACAAAGGCAGTAAAAAAGGTGTCTGGGGACCATGCGAGCAGAACTGCAGTGACCTCTGAACTGAGGACTTGGGCTTAAGTTGAAAGCTGAGTAACTCTCGGTGAACTGTCTCTCTGGGCTGGCTGACGAATCCCGACATAATCACTCTTACCCGGAATGGCACTGTTCATCGTCACGGGCAATAAAGGCTGGGATTGCTATCCGCTTGTAGGACCTAGACAGATCTGTCAGTGTATATCATAGTGACTCTAAATATCATAATTCTCCGGTAAACAAGGGGTAGTCCACCATTTGCAAATGGTACCCACAATGCAACAGTGACAAAAATTCGGACAAAATGGTCTTCGGTGAACCGTGCAAGGCACAAATCCGTAATATCAAAGGGATGATAGCTACTTGACAAGACATCAGTACTGGTACCATGCACAGAAACTTGACCCATCTGTCAAGAAGCTTGCTGATGTAAAGGAAGGGTGATGAAGATGAAAAATCAGGGAATGATTTTACACCATAATGCTGTTACGAGTAGTTTGTAGTAACAGGACTCAGTGAAGCGTCGGAAAAATTCCTGGATAGCAAGCCTGTCTAGTAACGCACAGACGAGTGGTTGTGGAGCTGATATCTACGCTGAGGGGTAGATTCCTAAACCAAATAATTCATCAAGGTGAAGATCGGAAGGTAGATAAATCCGGAATGATATGAGCTCTGGTCACGTAGTCTAAGTCTGGGAGATCACGGATCGTCAGAGCGTCAAGTGCCGGCGTAATCTAGATGTCTGCGCTACTGACAGAGCTACTTCATCTGTTCAATCAGCAGAACGGGGGTACCAGGTGGGATAAGTCATGTGACTAAAATCTTCTAGCGCCTCACATGCCAAAGGGTAATCCGGAGAGCCAAGTCGAATGGTCATGCTAAGAGCATGCCACTCTGTGGTGAGGAATTCAGCGTATCACAAATGCCCTGAATATTAACATCATGTTGAAAGCTGGTAGAATTTAATTAACAGCTGGTATAATTGACCGTATCTAGATGCAAGGTCATGATCCTCGATGAGCATGTAAAAAAACAGTGTTGACAAGTTCCGATCCGTCAAGTTGAATGTACTAAGTAGAGCATCTGGTATTTTGCTCAAGATAGCTATAGGTGAGTGAGTGAGTATGATCTTACGCCAGATAGCTGTAGCTGTAACCAAGTGACCAGTGTGTCGACTGAACCAACAATATTGCTGTACCTTAAAGGCGGCATGGTTCGGCAATGCTGGCAGTTTGGTGAATACTGATGGTTTAGTGAATGCTGTCGGATCGGCGAACGCTGTTAGATCTGCGATCTGGCACGGTTCGATGATCAGGATCGGTTAAGTGATCTGGCTCGGCGAGGTAAGATGTGAAACGGTACTGTGATCCGGTTCTGGTGCGGCAACTCAGTTTGGCCCGACGAACTAGTTCGGAGATGAGCAGATCGATCTGGTTAACTAGTACGGGGATGTTGTAGTGAATCAGTTCGGCGATGTGGTTCAGAGGAGATGAGCCATTCTGTGCAGAAGAATTAGTTCGACGATGACGCGGCGAACCGGCCAACCGAGTCGGTTCGACGATGATACTTGGATGAGTTCGGTGAACCATGGGAACAATGAGGGGAAGTATCATAATGAGAATGATGATCCCTGGATCTTGAACAATAGGCAGCAGTCGATCGTGTAGGAGATCCAGGTTGATGGGTCAAGTGCGTAGAAGTGGAAGTCCCATGCTGACGAGAAGACGAGGTCCCAGGAGGTGACTTCGATCGAAGAACCGATCTCAAAAAAGTAGATGGAGGCGTTGCTTAGTTGAATGCAAACGAGTCGAAGAGTGGCGTCTCGGCGGTGAACTAGACCTACCAGGTCTATCCGGTGAACAAATCCGAAGAATAATAGGAGCCTGATTCAAATGACTCGGTGAAAGCCGTGTCCGTGCTGAGGAGACATGACTGTAGGACCCAACAGAGTTCGGGGAAGTACACAGATGATCCGGAGAAGGGCGTTCCGTTGAATACCGCTTAGAAGAAAGCCGTATCAGCGAAAGTCGGTTCATCACATACCGTTTCAGAGAAGTCTTCCATTTCTGCGAACGTTGATTCAACGAAGTTCAATTAGGTGAAGTCTGTTTAAAAGACGATCGATCCGGAGAATGCCAAAGCGTAGGCTGGCCTTTCGATGAAGACCAGTTCGGCGAAAGCGGTTTCGTAGAGAGCTGGTCTAATTCTGGGGAAGGTGGACAGTCCGGCGAAAGTCGAGGTGGAGGGGAGTGGACAGGCAAAGCGTGTTTCGGCGAACTGTGATTCGATCTGGCAGGCTTCGGCGAAGCAGAAGATCGAGGTAGCTGGACGCAAGACACACTTCTTTTTCGCCGAATGGGAAGGAGACGGCTAAATAACCACTGACAGGCGTTGAGGCGAGGTAGACTGGTTCCTCTCACTACTGGATGAACGACAAGAGCGAGAATGGCTTCTGCGCATGCACTCTGCGCAGTCAGGCGTAGAGATCAGCTGATTCTTGTCCGAAACAGATAAGCCAGGTTGACGAGATAACTGGTCCGGTGAACGAGAGACAGAGACGTGGTCGAAGACGAAGGACTCGGGTTGGAATGTAGAGAGCCCAACAAATGCTGAATGTCTTCCGATAAGTAAGAATCTGACGACGCTCTCATGAAATCCTCTTCATTCGAGTGAGGGGACTGTGACGCTTAAACTTTCCTTACTGGGAGGGACTGGGTCCGTCAAGTGAAGCGGCATAATGAGCCCTGTCAGCAACACGACAAGCGCAAGCCTGAGTGTAGTCACCAAAGGCCTCGAAGGCAAGAACCTTGCATTTTATCGCAACGAGAGTCCCATTTACACTGTCCCATACAGTCAGCACAATACCCATGTGGATCACTCGCGGAGAACACTTTATTACACCGGGAGCATTTTCCCTCTTCTTTGGCTGGTCAACTTTCCCCATGTTGTAGACTAAGTTGAAAACGTTGAGCAAAGCAAAATACGTCCACACTCGTGTGTGACAAGAAAGAGAATAATGATGCGGAGATATTCACGTGGGCAGCTAGTGGTGCATGCCGCATGCTTTGCATGAGAGCTAGGAAGCTGTCATATAATGAGGGTAGCATGGAGTGCTTGGGCGGATGGACAAAAGAGGCCTAGGGAAAAAAGTTTACATCGTTCCACTCAGTGTTGAATCAAGAGAGAGAAGTGCATACCGTGAGATAGGATAAGTTTAAAAATTCACATTTTTCACAACACAAGTTTACACATACATTATCTTTCACAAGATGCCTGAACAATTCTATATATTATATACTTCTAATTTCTGTTTGATTAAATCTAAATAATATTAATTCAACAAAATTTAATTCACAAACGAAATCCATATTTCCTTATATCGAGACAACACATTTGTATCAGTTGCTATCTTTTTATTGTCATTGTATGAATAAGATCAGCATTAATAATAATATCTACCCAACAATCCTTTTGGTCTTTGTCTAAATGTCAAAAGTCTGTGTTGGCACACAGATGCAGAAAACTACAAATACACATGGATTTCATCAACCAACATTCTGCTACAGTGAAATGCACTTGTGAATTATCATAAACACAAGATGATTTAGAGTGTATGAAGCTGAGAGCAAGAGTAAACAGTAAACAAGCCAACACAGTCACACAACATGCAGGCTAACTAGTACTTGACTTGAGAACTATGCACGTTAACAGCTGGCAGTTGGAATATTCATCTAATAAAATAATGACTTAATCAAGCTGTTAAAATGTTACATATCACAAAATGAAATTATAGAGGTAGAATCAGAATTTCAACTAAACCATATCCAACACAACATGGTTACATTCACTTACTTTGATTTGAGAGAAGAATTTTCTTTTTTCAAAGTTGAGTGTGTTGTGAGTTGATTGTCAGACAACTTGTGAATTTGGGATTCAAGATACTTCATCTGTGAGCAAAAAGAAAGAAGTATTTTAACTCATACAACTGATAAACATGCACAAAAATGGTTCTGATGCTTCTATTACATCAGTTTTGTATGTGTATGAAGCTATGTTAAGTACAGTTGAAGTATAGTTATCAGGCACACAGCTTACAGTTACAACAATGAACAATAACAGCAATATTTGTACATCCATCCATACATACAGCACCATAGCTCACCTGGGTATGTTCTCAATAATTAGAGTGTCAACAAAGACATACACATGGCAAATGTTGCTGTCAGTACTGAAAATCAAAAAGTATCTGCACAAACACTGACGACTGTAAACTGACACTCCAGTCTTATGACTTCCATGAGACAAAATGTCATTAAAAGGTGAAAGACATAGGAGTGAGTGAGTGAATGAGTGAGTGAGAAGTTTTATGCCACTTTTAGCAATATTCCAGCAATATCACAGCTGGAAACACAAGAAATGACCTTCACACGTTGTACCCATGTGGGGAATCAAACCCGGGTCTTCAGCGTGGCGAGCCAACGCTTTAACCACTAGCCTACCCCACAACCCTGGAAACGAGAAGAAATTCTCTGATCCAAATATTCATTCTCAGAAAAATAAGGGCACAGGCACGACAAGGACAAAATCTAAAGTGAACATATCTGTTAAGCCCTACCACTGACCATGTCACAACTAATACATCTAGCTACCTTCTTTAGAGAGTTCAGGATATTGTGAGGAATGAACTTGGCATGTCAAAGGTTTCAGCACTCTGGGTACCCATTTCTATTTCCTGATAAGGAAGGCTCCAGGGCCTAGATTTTCGAAGCTCTCTTAGCGCTAAAACAGTCGTAAGTGCCATACATTAACATTAACTTACGACTCTCTTAGCGCTAAGAGAGCTTCGAAAATCTAGGCCCTAGTTATTGTCAGCAGACACAGCACAACAGCTGATCTGTTGAGGCATTTGTAACCATGGATGAAAGTGGGTTCACCACTATTAGTGTTTCCTCTGACAAAGAAGGCAAGGTCTGAGGTTTTCTGAATCCTACTGGTGGACTACCTTCCAAATGATCAGACAATTGATGGCCAATATGATGCTCATCTGCTTTCACAACTGAATGTAAAGGTTACACATCATGGAAAATATTTTTATGGTATGATGCTGAAATCATGGCCAAAGCTCAACCATTCCTACTTGCATAGGAGTCTGTGAGTACAGGTCATTAACAAAACACAATAAGCACTCACCCGGTCATCTATGTTTTGGAAGTTGCCATCTATGTCATCGTAGACTATATCTGACCCAAAGCTACTTCTCCTTGTACTGTTGGGAGAATGCGAATCTCGTTGAAGCTGCCTGGACCAACACAAAATTTACAAATAACACTTTGCTATTGACAATTGTGTTTGGCTACAAACCTTTGAAATAACAACCACTTAGCATGAGGCTGTTATTTATCTACACATATATGTATACTTATCAGAGGGGTACACAAAGTCCACAGTCTGGACTACCAGTTGTCGGACTTCCATTTTTGTGAAAGTCATGGTGGCTGAGCGGGTTAGGCATCTGACTCTGTGTGCTTGCAATTAGGTGACTGACTCTGAGAGTCCCGCATTGGATTCTGTAGAATCTGTACTTTACTAAGAAAGTGTAGTCCCAAATATAACATATGTCACATATATGTAATAGTGCATAACATTTTTATAAACCACAACACTTAAAGTTGTTTGGGACAAAGATGTGCCTTTAATGAGATTAATTATTTTGACAAAAGTGTTCTTTACCCTATGCCTCGTGCATACAGGCAGAAATCGTAAAGTAACCAAGGCCACTGAACACCAACGTCTACAACGTTTCTCATCATATTTTTTATATTTTATGTTTGGTGCAAACATCTGCTTCGGTTTCATCAGCCGAGGCCTTTTTAACCCCGTGGTTGATTGTAAAAAACTATCGATCAGGTTTTATGACATTTTTCTATCATCAAACAGTGATTCTCAGTCGTCCGCTGTTCTCTCTCGGTCTGACTGTTGACTCGAGTGCATGCCGGCTTTCTTGTCAGTGATTGGTCAGTTATTTATAGAAATGCTTGCTTTGGTTTCTATAGGTTTACTGTGGGGTTCCGATCGAGGAGTGATAAATAGCAAACAAAGAAAAACTCTAGTTTATTATCATTGTGAAAGTTACTTCATTTCGTTCACGTATTGTGTCACATTTTAATAGCTACATTTTTAGCAGATATGAAATGAAATCCAAGTTTATTTGCAGTTTTAAACTGTAAGCATTGCAGAAATTATCTGGTAGCCCATAGACAAGTAAGATGCCATTATTTGATCGCCTGAAATGAAAACTGACTTGTCCCAGGCGTCGGGCAATGGGATTTTTTAACCCCTGCGTTCTGTTTGATATTTCTACTAATTTTGATGAAAAATATTGAACGGAGTTATGCTCCAGAAACTAATTGATTATGGATAGACAGACAGACAGACAGGTGAGGCAATGACTATATCCCCCGCATTATACGCTGCGAGGATAACAAGGATCATAATCATGGTGAAATTGGGATCTGAATCATTTGTAGGAATATTTATGACAACAAGAAGACAAAGTCATGAATATCCCTGGAAATGGCAAAATACTCTTCATGAATATGTCTACTAGTTATGATTATGTTAAATGTCTTGGCGTGTATACAGCAAAGTGGAAGGAGAGTATTAAAAGGTTTCAAAGTTCTGCTCCAGAAAGGAGCCCTACCACCAAATTCAGTTGATGCCAAACTTATTCCCACTGAAACGCAAACAAATATTTTATTCAGAAATCCAAAAATACCAAAGGCACCAGTTCACCACTAGACTTACCTATGTGCCAAATTTGGTGAAGAAATATTGTACGGTTTTAAAGTTCTGCTCTGGAAAAGAGCGCTACCACCAATTTCAATCAAAGTCAAACTTGTTGCCATGGACACGCAAAAAATATTTTATTTAGAATTCCAAAACTACCAAAAGCCACCAGTACACAACCAGACCTATCTATGTGAGAAGTTTGGTGAAGAATTGTTAAGCTGTTTTAAAGTTCTGCTTCTAAAAAGACGAATGTGCATGGATGGACGCATGGATGGACGGTGTCCATTTTAATAACCCCGCACAACACCTTGCGAAGGATGACAAGTGCATGGTTGGTCTGTAAAAAAACAAGTGCACTTACGAAAGACAAACAGGCATTTACATCAGTACAGCTAAACAGTTGTACAGGCATACACCACTAGACAAGACAATTGTATACATGAACTAGGATTGCCTCGTGGGCAATACTGACGGTCTTCAGACTTCCCCATACACTCCCTGTGGCTGCCTTTACTTCTACTGTTTCTGTTAAGCCTGCTGGAGCGTCCATTTTAACTCTTGGAGTTACGGGTGTTTGAAGTGTATTAAAGGGCTAGAAACCGTCCAAAACGCAGGCAGAACACGTTTTTGATACGAGAGCAGATCGGTGACATGCAGCCGGGGTGGCGGGGGGTCATGTACCTTTTAAATAGTTCCCACAGAAGAAATAGTTCTCTCTTTAACGGGCCATAGCTCCACTGTCCTTGTGTCTATGGTCAAAACAATTAGTGTTCTGGAATTTCCATGATCCTAGCTATCTGATGCATAGACCTATGTGCATATATTGCATTTGTGAAACAGCCATAGACTTATGTGTATATAGTGCATTTGTGAAACACCCATTCAAAATTTTCTGTTTTGCAGTTAAGATGATTTGAAAGTACGACTGCCATGGCCGCAGTTTTGTGTGTGAAGTTTCGTTCTGTTTTAAATGTATAAGATATTGTGCTTTTATGTGCTGGATTCCTGCAATCATGATGATGTAGCAGAAAGGGTTCTCGCGATCCTGGCACAGTCAGACTGGTAAACAAACTGCTGAAGTCCCAGTTTTTACCAAAAGCGCATTGCTCTTTGGGCATTGGAAAGCCAGCAATTGGTTATACCTACTTGGGTTGTCAGTCAAGACGTGGTGAGGTAATTTTACGACGATGTCGTATTGGCCACAGTCGGTTTACTCATGACTATCTGCTGAAAACGGATGGGGATGGACCTCCCATGTGTGTCTCTTGCTATGTTCAAAGTGTTTGGCATCTGATTGTTAGCTACCTGAGGGAAGTTGACCTGTACCATAAGTTATAACTACGGTATGTAATGTGAGTCACAGATTGCTTGTTTTTGAGTTTGGTCATTTTTCACTTGTAAATAGTAATGTAATGAATATATATGTTCAAAACAACTCTTTTTTGGACTTTGTATTTAAAATTTTAAAACTCCAACTTGATCTTGTCACTATATGGCTGGAATAACGCCGATATGACGTAAAACCGAACACAACAACAACTTGGGCATTGGAAAACCAGGAAGTGGAGTTTTTTGCTAGATTTTAACAAACAGAAACGCACAATCAAACAAAGCAAAGGAATTGAGCAATATATACAGGCATGTACAAATAGAGAGATAACTGGTAAATGTTGCAGACTTTGTTGTGGTCAAAAAGTCAAGCGCATTGCTCTTTGGGCATTGGAAAACCAGGAAGTGGGGATTGTTGCAAGATTTTACAGACGCTTCTTTCAGCTATTTCGCTCTTCAGATTTTACTGGCGCTTCTTTCTGCTATTTTGCTCTTCAGCCATCTGAACACTAACAAAATGCGAAACATCCTAATGTTCGTGTCGCAATTGTGGCGTACTTATTGACTTCTACATAACAATAATGTGAAGCAAAATTGTCTCCCATTCAATTACCTACAGTTTGGTACCTTCAAAATTGAAATCAGTTGTTTTTAAAGTGTGGGCTTTACAACGATATATCAAACACGATTGTACTATTTGCCGTGCAGGAGGAGAAGATTATGAAACACAGGCACCATCAAAACGTGCAGAAAAGTGAAAAATCGTAATGTTTGTGTTTGTGTCGAAATTGTGAAGTAATTATTCATTATTATATAATAACAATCTGAAGCAAAAATGTTTCCCATTCAATTATCTACAGATTGGTACTTTGGAAAATCAAATCCATTGTGTTTTCGCTTAATTGGGACATTTTTTTTTTAACCCTATGAAAATGCGTCTTAGAAAAATTCACCAACTTCCAAGGGCGATAACTCCAAAACCGTTCAAGATATCGACATGCCTTGACCAATTTATGTAGTCTGGAGTGTGGGTTTTACAGCGATATATCAAACACGATTGTACTATTTGCCATTCAGGAGGAGAAGATTTTTAAACACAGGCACCGTCAAAATGCGAAAATCAACAAACAATTCAGTTTTTTCAAAATGGCGGAAAATCTATCATGGCGGACAACTTCCACTATGCGTTGAGTCGATGGGGAATGATGTTGTCTACATTGAGTGAAAATTTGGTCAATTTATCTCTGGTAGATTTTTAGATATTGAGGTTTACAGATTTCGACATTTTGGGTTATCTGTCCTTACCGGAAGTCGGGATTTTTTCGACTCTGTATCAATTTCAGCATGCAGGCTATCATCCCTGAAAGTTTCATGAAAATCGATCCAGCGGTTAAGTCATCAGAGCTGGTACAAAAAACGTACAAATAATAATAATAAGAAGAAGAATATTTGAGTAAGAACAGTAGGTCTTCCAGACTTTCGTCTGAAGACCAAATAATTGAATCACTCATGAAACTGACAGTTCATATACTCACCTAGCATAAGCAGCAGATGTGAGTCTTCTGTTGGGGCTGAAAGAGACAAAAACAAAATTAAAGGAATTTCAGTTTAAATTTCTATTGTGTGATACTTGTTACTTCTTTAAGCAATACTTCTGACGTCACTTTCATTTCAACAAGCATTGTCACTAAGGTGACATAATCCCCCGCCGCAAATTATCAAATCAAACTTATAAAGTAATGAAAGTTAATGTCAACAAAAACATGACTAATCAACCTCTCTTGATATCTGGTTCTTTAGTTGTTCAAACACCCACATATTTTCAAGACTGACTTTGACCTTGACATGAATGTCATAGTGTATGAAATATGCATACCTAGTACTAAAGAAATTGCTTATTGAAAAACATTCAAGAGAAGTCTTAAAAGTCTATGAAGAAAATCCAGTGAACTGTTCTAAAATATGTTGCTGACAATTCAGGTTAACATGCTGAAATCTTCAGTGTCGTCGTGACCCTAAAAATTATGTGAATGTCACCAAAATTGACTGGGCCCTGGGACTTCCCTAGATGAAGCTTGGTGTCAAATATGAAGAAAATCCAGTGACTATTTTTTTTGATATCTTGCTGACTATCTTAACATGCAATTTAACATGCTGAAATCTTCAAAGTGTCTCTGTGACCTTGAAAATTAAGTGAAGATCACCAAAATTGACTGGGCCCTGCGCCTTCCCTAGATAAAACTTGGTGTTAAATATGAAGAAAATCCAGTGAACAGTTCTTGAGATAGCTTAACATGCAGGTTTACATGCTTAAATCTTCAAAGTGTCGCTATGACCTTGAAAATTAAGTGAAGGTCACGAAAATTGACTGGCTCCTGCGCCTTCCCTACATAAAGCTTGGTATTGAATATGAAGAAAATCCAGTGAACGGTTCTTGATATAGCTTAACATGCAGGTAAAATGTTAAAGTCCCCTTGTGACCTTGAAATGAATGTCAAGGTCACCAAACCTGAGTTGGACCTTTCTTATACTGTGATGAAACTAGGTACCAAATATGAAAAGAATCTAGTGAACGGTTCTTAAGATATTCCAATTCATACGTACCTACGGACAGACGGAGCCTAATACTATATCCCCCGCTTTGCTCTAAACGCACGGCAGGGGATAATGAACATTTGTGACTTCATTCATAGTGAAGTGTATATGAGGCTCTTTTCAGGAGCTGAAACCTTGCCCCTATTGGGACAATGTCTTGAGTTGGATCGAACCCTGGCTTGTCAGGATGACCCAGGAAACACAGGTATGATAGGAGCTGGAGGATAATTATGGCAGTATACTTTATTCACAACATTTTTCGCCAGTTCATAGAAAGTCATCTTTATGGTCTCACAAGACAATGAGTGTGGTAATGCAAATAAATGGCCATGGCAATATTGATATGCCACAAAGCAGTTGTATTTGAACCTTTGACCATTGACTGCGAAGTGTAAGTTTATGGGAACCTGTAGATGGGCATCATTATTCTAAACTGATGAACCAAGTCTGAGAGAGTTCAGTAAATCATAACTGATTCCACCTGAAACTTGAAAGTGTGTACTAGGTAATCTTTGTTGAGCACTTTTAGATTGATAATCATGCACATATTTAATTTGCACACACACATATCAGTGCAAGTTGGATTCAAGATTGCGACCTCAACTAAGATTGAAATTTTCAATGAATATCTTAAAATCGATGCTGTGCAAACCAGTTTTGATAAAGGTATTTTGAATTATTGAAGGAAATTATTAGTGGGATGACAGCATATCATTTTTTTCTACATTTATACTGTCATGATTAAGAACTGCATTTAATATTTCAACGTACAAATGTTTTATAAATATACTGAAATATGAATAAATACATTAATAAATTTTGAAAATTATCATATACAAAAATAATCAACAATAATATTTCATTATAAAATAGCACGTAATTGTATGATTTGACCATGGTTATCATGAAGCCAAGGTTTAATACACATGTATTTGGGGGAGAGGTTTTTTAAATCCTCCATATATCCCACATGTTTGTTTTGTTGCTATTTCTTAAGTTTTTTGTGAAGAATGCATGGAGAGGAAACAAGTATTGAACATTTCTAGAAAGCACAGAAAGCAAACTGAAGAAACATATATACTGTGTATTAATTTTCAAACACTATTACATTGATAACAAGAACACAAAGTCACCAATATCCCCCGCAATGGCAAAATACTCTTCATGAATATGTCAACAAGTAATGATTATTACAGCAGTGAGTGAGTGAGTTTAGTTTTACACCGCACTTAGCAATATTCTGTCAATAATCAAATCTGGACCAGACAATCCAGTGATCAACAGCACGAACATCGGTCTACGCAATTGGGATACAATGATATCTGTCAACAAAATCAGTGACTATATTGCAAAGTGGAAGGTCTTAAAGTTCTGCACCGGAGAAGAGCATTACCACCAATGTCAAGGTCAAACTTGTTGCCATGGAAACACAAAAATATTTCATTCAGAAATCCAAAACTACCAAAAGGCACCAGTTCATCACCAGATCTATCTATGTGCCAAGTTTGGTGAAGAATTATTGAAAGGTTTAAAACTTCTGCTCCGGAAAAAGCAAATGTGCACGGACGCACAGACGGATGCACTGACGGACAGAGTCCATTTTAATAACCCCCCTGCAAAATACGATGCGGGGGGATAATTATTCTTTATTAATTTTTGCAACTTGTAAGGTATTTTACAAAATATTCAATGGTTCTTCATTTGAATCATCATGTTAAATTTCTTGTTTGAATTTATAATTCAAATATCAAAAGCTCTTGAAGAAACCAGTATGATTGTGCATGTTTTGTTTTAATTATAGATCATTTTAATGATAAAGATAAAGACAAAATTACTGAAACAAATGGGACCTAAAAAAAAAACAGTCGGAGCTCTAAAATTTGACACCATTAATAAACTGAGCAAGGCTGACTCTACTGTACAGACAACAGCATACAATGCAAATGAAACCACACCCATGTTGTGAGTAAACTAAGATTAGCTACTCTTGAGTTAACAAAAAGATCACATTCATTACTAATCACTTTCAGACACCTACTTTCATTATCTTCCTCTTGACTATCAAAAAGGTACCGTATGTTGTTTTACCTTTCTTGCAGGTACAAATTGTACTTTTAGTATTCAACCATGTAGTTCAACAATGTTTCTTGCATGCTTTGAACCCTTAGAATGTGTTTAGTTTCAAAACAACTCACCCAAAGACACCCCACACCTTTCCATGTCAATGTCACATCTCTAACAGTCCATGCATCTTGACCTCTCTAAAAGGTTGTTCTCTAAGGCAGGTAGGGGCAGGAAGGATGAACAAGAGTTCATCATGTGCCATAGGATAAGTATATGTAAAATTGTAAAATTTTCAGATTGTTAACCTCGTCCTATCTCACACTTTCAATTCATAAATCCCAGAGTAGCACAGAGGGTGTAGAAGTCAACAGACTTCTACCATGGGATATCACAAGGAAGATGGTGTCGAACTAATTCAAAGCAAGTAACGACAAAACTCATGATGGGTCTTCCTAGGAACCCCTTTGTATTCAAACATGTTTACCGATGTTACTGTAAACTAGCAGTCAATGGAAAACAGGCGGTAATCAATTCGTGATTGTTGATAATATGGTGTGAAATTGGCTATCACAGTTGGAGTGATAAACGTACCCTCACGAACGTGGTAAGCGGATGTTGTACGCCCATGGAATGGGATAAAATAAGCAAGTCAGTTTGTTGACATGTGATCGTCCAGCTACAATAAGTATGATATTTAGCGTAACAAAATATATTTTCCATTTTCTGTCAACTACACTTCATTTCGATGCGTGAGTAGATGCAATATGATTGTGAATTTCTTTGAATAATGTGGACCAAAGTTCTAATTATCGGTAACTGCCAGTTTTTGCCACGATTAGGACCCAATCGCAGGGGATCGGCTTATGTACGAAGCATACTACTTTGACACTGATTTTAAGGGTCAAGTTTGGGGGTCAGCTTATCTATGGGGTCGACTTATCTACGGTAATATACGGTACCTCTTTGGTATCTTTGAGATAAGTTAACATGTTCAATTCACAACTTTCATACATTATATTCTATTATGAAAAATCATAAAAGCGCAACTCAGCAATGGGTTTCCAAATTCTAACTCAAAGGATCTCCCAGTCCAAGACAGTGCATTCTACAGACAGAGCTCTCATTGAACGAAGGACATTGAGGCAATCACTCTCCCATCTCCCTTAATGCTTTGCTCATGAGAACAAGGAGAGGACACATTTGTTCTAAACATCAGGTGTCTTCAAACAAGCCATCCCACGAGCAATACATGAGCAGAGGTTTGGGTTTGGAGCGTTGAAGACAGTGACACCCAGACTGACTGACTGACTGAGTTTGGTTTTACGCCGCTTTTAGCAATATTCCAGCAACTTCACGGCGGGGGACACCAGAAATGGGCTTCACACATTGTACCCATGTGGGGATTCTAACCCGGGTCTTCGGCCTGACGAGCAAACGCTTTAACCATTAGGCTACCCCACCGCCCCAGTGACACCCAGGGGGCAACAAGCCTGATTAAGAAAACAAAGAGCAACAACTAGAGTCTTTGAAGCTGCAAGATAACATCATAAAACACAAACCGGACACAAACACTTCCATATCATCTGAGCCCAGGATCACCAACCAAAGAGGGATGGTAAACCATCTAAGCAGCTGTACAAGTAGTTGATTCTGAGACCAGGATCACCAACCAAAGAGAAATGGTAAACCATCTATGCAGCTGTACAAGTAGTTGATTCAAGACCATGAACACCAACCAAAGACAATGGTAAACCATCTATGCAGCTGTACAGGTAGTTGATTCTGAGACCAGGACAAAATTTCATTTGTCAACTTTCTCAATTTTTCTGTTTAGATCTAAAGCATGGAGTTCACAAATCTGAGCTGCTATGACTAACGATTACAAAAATAATGTCAAGGTGATGGTTTCGAG